GCGCCACTAAGGACGTGTCTGCCGAATGGCGCAGCCACGCACTTCTGCAGGATTCTGCCTCGCCGGTTGCGAACGCACTCTGACGCTGCCAAGATAATTCTGCACGACCCCAGAAAAACATATTGTTGTGCTTCACGCCGACCACGTGGAACTCCTTTGCGCTTCGTAACCATGTGGAAGTTACGCAGGAGCTCCGCTGAAGGCAGGGACACCTGCACAGCCTGGGGCTTCCAAGCTTCGCAAGATCTGGCTGCTAGGCTGGTTCAAGTCTGGTAGTCTTTGCTTGCAAAGTTGGAGGCCCGTGCAACAAGGCCTGCTCGAGTGTCCGTGGGGCTCATGTCATTTGCGCTGCAAGCGTCTGCAACCAGTTCGATTGGAAGATCATTGACACGAAATGACCGTGCAAGGAGTGCACCCACCAGGATCACTCTGAAGGGCGAAGCTCAGAAATTCTCCCATGAACAGCGGGCATTTGCACGGCCATCTGAGAACGCGAGCTTAGCGCCCACAAACAGGTTGGGAATCCTCTAATCCTGATTGGGCCAGCGGCCGCAAAATATACATGCACTGTCTACACGCGTGCTGCGAACATCCGCCAGCTTGTTTTTGAAGGGCATTCTGATTCTACAACTTGATGGTTAGAAAAAGAACCACTATAAAGCCCTCATTTCCAGGGCTCCTCTTGAAACCACGTGGACCGGACAGAACAGAACGGGGTCAAGATAGCCATCGAGGCGAATCGAGGCGAATCGAGGGCGGAGGGGAGCCTCGAAGAGCGCAAGGGTTGAAGGCCATTGGAGCTGTCGCGGTTTTGCCGGCGAGCCAGGGGTGGTTCCTTTTTGGTCGTCCCCAAATTGTGGTTTTATTATTCTGTCACCAAACAAAGTTGCCCAACGGCTTTTTGACCATCCGGAAATAACTTGTTCCCTCTGCGCCTGGCCCCAACTCGAGGCCTCGATCGCCCACAAATTGCTTCTTCACGCCGAAAAAAACCGGTTTGCCAACTCGAGGCCTCGAGAAGCGCCAAGAAGCGAAGCCGGAAGCGACTTCCGGTGTGAATTGAACGAAAGTCGCCTAGCCACAATCAAAACCCGGCCCATGGGGCTGAGCTAACACTGCTATCCCATGGTCATGAATGATTTCTTTAATAATTTCATGGTAATGCCCGTGAACCCCCAGTGAAATTACCTCCGCTCGCCTCGGCTAACAGGACAACAACTTGCATGACTTCGCACTTGTGATATTTGGCTCAAATCAGGTTACGCGAGCCTTTGTGATTTGTGCGTGAGGTTCACCTAGGACCTAGGAAGATGAGGTGAAACCAGCAAAGCTGGACCGGCGTGCAACTTTCTGAAAGGGGTCCAGTGGCACTGCCGCTGCTCCTTGGTTCAATGAGCTTTTGCTTCCGCAAAAGGAGTGCAATAAGCCCGCTCAGCCAACATCGCCCTAAATCGACAAAATCAACCCGTTACAGCCTGTGGCGTTTTTCCGCATTTGCTCAGTTTGTTCCACCCGCGATTTGCGGCGGAAATCGGCGGGAATGCGGCGGAAATCGGCGGGAATGCGGCGGAAATTGGTGGGAATGCCCTCAGCTTGCATCCGCAAATTTGGGACCAACTGGCAACACAAGTGGCAAGACACAAAAGATCCTCATCAAATCGACTCGTTTTGGCCCTTGAATGCTTCAACGATCTTTGACAAATTGGGAGATCGGGGTAGCAAAGCTGTCCTCCATGCTAGTATGCTTGCTTTGAAGCCCGAAATTCTGCAAGCAGTGGCTAGAATTTCCGCCGCAATGCATTGCGGCAGAAATTTCTGCCGCAAGAAGTTCTAGGTAGTACTTAAGACTTCTAGTCAAAACCGTGCAAACAAATCAGACGGGCGGACTTTGAGATCCCCTACCCCAAACTCCCCTTCTTTGAGGTTCTTCTCTGGGTGGCTATGAACCTCTGTTCATTGCAACTAACCTTCCGTTCGTTGGTAACTAACCTTCTGACATTTCCATTTTTGGTGGCTTATTGAGAGCACTTTGCTTGCTAATATGGGCTGTGGAGCCATTTTGCGCCATGAACTGCGACGATGGAATGAACTATGATAAACTGTAAGTGGTACAGAAATCTACCGCATTTTCAATCGATGGCGATACTAAAATGAGGCAGCGGAGCCAATTGCAGCGCCCAGGCGGCGGTCGATAACTGACTAGCAAGAGGCAACGTCGCCACTTCAAATATTTGGTTGACTGGCGCAGTGAGTCAGCAGTTGATAACATTAATGATGGTAGGGCTCTAGCAGGGGAAAACGTTTACTTTTGGACCACCGCGTGTGGGCGCAAGCCTTTCTGCAACCGGCGGGGCGCAGTGAATAGCGAACAGCGGACAGTGAACGGCAAACAGTGGACAGTAAACAATGGACTACGGGCGGTCGAAGGTAAAGAACATCAGCGCGCTTGCCTGCAGATGGCTCAAACTGCAGCAACGCACAGGCGTGCCCTAAAGTGCTTTCGCATGCTGCTCGCCACTGACAATCCAACAGGGGCAGGACACAGCATGTTTTCCACATAGCAGCCATTGATCACGCAGCGCGCTGATTCACAGCTGCGCCCGCTGAAAAGCTACGAACACCCACGCGCACAGTGCACAGAGCACAACGGGCTGCAAGCCGAAAACGAATACATATTTCGTTCATGGCACTTTACCATTTTCAACCTTGGCAAAGTGGTCATGTTCGTTCTTGAAAGACAGATTCTGGAACAACACAGGAGATCTACAAGCAGTCCCTCGCAGTCCTGCGCAGCAAACGCGCGCGCGTTCTGCGCGCACTTAATTAAAACTATTGGACTTCCACACGCTCAGCTTCAGCGCTTTCTACTTCAGTGTGCCCATGGCACTTAAAGGTTGGCTTCCACTACGCAGGCTTCGCAAATAATCCTCAGCCTGGTCCGCGCTTTCTGCATCTTAGACTCCCATGCCCTCTTCGAGCATACACATGCCGGGTCCGGCAGAACCTCGTCCAGGACCAGCTCTGGGATGTAGGCGTGCTGCTTCCGGGTGGTGTTCACCACCCGCGCTCGCTTGGCATATCTGTGCGACATATTGTGGCCCGCTTTAGACGAGGAATGGCTCCGCATCTTGGGCGGGGGCGCCAGCTAACGCAGCAACGGACTGTGGACAGCGGACAGTGGAAATTAAACGCTGGAGCCAAATAGCTGCCATGTGTGACATAGTCAGTGTGCAGTGGGCGCAACGGATCTCACGCGCTGCAAAACAAACCCTTCCATGACAGGCCCTCACGATTTCAAACAACGGTGTGAACAGCCACAAGTGCACGCGGAATTCTGTAAGGCGCAGGAGTTGACGATGCTGTTGCTGATGATGGCAGTGACGCAGTGACCAAACCCCAGGAAGCCAGCTAAACCACACCCACTCAACGAGCGCCCTGCGGCAATCCAAAGTGTGCCCCCAAGCATGGCGCAGTTGCCATTTCCAGGTCCTAGAATTCGAGGGGGGCGCCCGTCCGTAGACCAAAAATGGTGAGAATTGACCGACGCCACCTCCGGTCAATTGCCACCTTCAGTCAGCTTTGAGCCCTGCGCACCTGCCTTTTGCACGCGGTCACACACAGCAAGCTGAGACGATTTAATTGGTGCAGCGCTTCCAGCTGCTAGAGCCCGGCTCCAAGCTTACCATGGGGCGCTTCCAATTCGAATTTTGCAGCTTCTGACGCTTTGAATTCCCAGCAGGCGGGGTCTTCCAAGTGGAACTCGTTGGAGGCCGCTTCCATGACGGTGATGCTGCGGTCCCGCGGCTTGGCTGGGAAACAGTGGACGGTGGACCGTGCAACAGTGGACTGCCTTGGCCCTTGCGCTGTTCCAGCCACTTGTCCACAACCCACTTGCCCATCAAAGGTGGGTAGGACTGGCTTTCCTTCAGAAGGGCTTGGTCTCCACTAACAGTGGTCTTGCTGCTCTTCTCGTCAACCTTCACCAAAGCTTTGTGGTCTCCGTTTGGGCATTCGCACTTCTGGTGCAGGCTCTGCACCCAAGACTCGCCAGCAAACTTGTACCGCTTCAAAAACCTGGCCCCGAAAGGGGCTTCAATCTGAAACGCGCACCGGGCGCAAGTCGCTACGCAATGCCCGAACGCATTAAACACCGTCTCGATGGGCTTGAAGCGGAACATGATGCTTCCTGCTGGCTGTTCGATGACAGGCCGCACCTTCCGCAACATGGCGACGGCATAAAGGAAAGCAGCGATAGACGCCATGTGGTTTCCTTGCTTCACAGGCTCGTAGCCCGCCCTACCTGCAGGGTTTTTCACAGTTCTTCGGCAGTTGGCGCTATTCATGAACACCCAACTGCTGCACACTGGCGCCATCCAGAGTAGGCCACCCTCCTTGATTTCAAGCACTGCTTGCAAGGCCCGCATGAAGCCGTGCTTGGACAAAATGTTCTCCGAGTCCGGCCCGTCGGTGTTCGTGACTCCGGGGACACGATTCTTGTCCATGGCCACGCTTGCCTGGCCAGCCTTTTGAGCAGCGCCAGCGATAGACGCTACCCCGCACCACAGCTCCACAACGGACAGTGGACGGTGGACAGGGCACATCTCCAACGCCATGACCAACGTGAGACCAAACACTTGCATTTTCGTCAAGCTCGAAGGGATCGCCATTAGTCACTTGGCGCCAGCCCGCTGCAAACTCTAGCAAGTCACTGGAGCCAGCTTGCAAGCAGCGGCAGAAGTGAGCAACTTGCGAACACTGCCAAACTGACGGGCAAGCGCATTGCAACAAACGACTTGGCATTTTGCTACAATGGCTGCTTTTAGGTGCTTGCAGGCAATGGCAAGGGCAATGTCTGTTGACACTGCCCAAGAACCTGCCCTGACAACCCCCCCCCAAGTTGCAGTGAATGGATGGCACATGGTAAACATCCACGGTGGACAAAGCACAGTGGACAGCCATCACGCTGCAATCCCCCAGTTAAACAAGAGCCTAACAACTCTTCACACCCCAAAGGACTGACGAAATGATTTGGCGCCAGCTGCAAATCGCTGCGCTGGTGGCCCGTCGCCCTCAGACATGCACTTCTGCATGTACTTCCAGTACAGCTCTTGCGACAAGGTCTTTTGCTTGCCACCCTTCATGCTTGAAGCCTTTAAGTTCTTCCGGAGCGTCTCGTAGTCCTCCTTCATTTTCTTGTAGATTGCCAGCTTGGACTCATCCAACGGCGGCCGGCGGCCAGCAAAGGTGTCCTTGGTGCCCCTTGCAGCCCGCTTGGCCTTGTCAGCGCCTCTCATTTTGTCAGGCGCTGAGTGCGCGCCCTCTTGCTTGAGACACCTGTTGATGGCGGCCTTTGTGGCTGCTGACTTTGGCGTTGGCTGCGAGCACGCGGACAAAGAAGCCACAGGCGCGCCAACACTTGGAGCCTTCGCAGGCGCTGGCGAACTTGCTGCCTTTGCGTCAGAAAGTAGTGGCGTGCTGGCAAAGTCCCACAAGCGATCTTCTTCATCATCAGCGAAGCATGCTAGGAAGCCGGCCATGACACAGGGCAAGGAACCGGGAACCGTGCACTGAAAGTCGGGGACAGGGCTTGAGTGCAAACGTTGACAGCATATGCTGTGACGCCCTGCTGCGGCATGCAACAATGTGTGCGTGTAAGCCTGCATGCTTGCGCCTGTGCTGCCTGCCACTTTTACATCTTGCTCACACGGCTCGTAATGGTCTGTCAAAACCGGCACGTCGCTTCGCACGCCGTGCAAATGCAGGCTGCTGTGGCCAGGCCACACGCAAACCTCATGGACTGAGGACAGTGCGCAGTGGACTAGGGCTTGCCTGGGCCACACACCAAAAAGCACTTGTCCTTGAGTTCGGCTTCGCCAGCATCCAGCAAGGCTTTGCCGGGAAAACGCCCTTTTGCTGGCTTGAGTCCTCATAGCTGAAGCTCATCACGAGCTTTAATGCTCCGTTGGTTGTCTGGCCCTTCTCCCAATCCACAACAGCAAAGGTCAACAAGCTGCCGCAGTTGGTCAAGTCGGCAACGGCGCGGGCAGGCAACTTCTTGGCCTCAAATGCGCAATCTTCCACGCTCTTGACCTTGATCCCGTCCGAGCCTTCTAGGCTGACTTCATGGCATGCCACGGAGAAGGTGACGACGTTGTGGTCTGCGAGGTAGTCCGCAAACTTCTGAAAAGTGGCAGGGCGCCTCTGGAACGCCGGGTCCCAGCCTGCAGGATGGGACCAAATCGCCTCGAAGTCCGCCGCATCCATCTTCCAATGGCACAAGTGCCCTTTGCGCTTTTGCACCTTGGCAATGTCTGCGTCCCCGGTGTGGAATTCTCCGAAGGTCTGAAACAAAGGGACCTTTGCAGAGGCCACGCCGTCCTCGAGAGCATGGAGGAAAAGGTGCCCCTTGGAAGTAAAAATCAGATTGAAAAGCTCTGGTTGGCTGCTGTGGACAGTGGACAGGTTGCCATGCGCCTTGCGCAATTCTTCCAGGGACTCCACAACGCAATCGTCCAGGAAGGGCTCACCTTCCTCCACGTCGTCTCCAATGGCCTCTCCAGCTCTCTTGCGCCCGTCAGCTTTGTAAGGGCAGCCTGAGGAATTGAAGAGTTTGTTGTGGCTTGCAATCGCTTCCTCATAGTCAGACTTCAGGCGGGCAAATTTGGGGCCCCACTCGTCCAACGCATTCTGGCGCATTGCCAAGTTCCCGTCTGCCGTGGGGAAGGTCAGACTGTACAAGCTCGAGTCGTTGGTGGGCGTAGTGCCTTCAGGCGTGTACTCCTTGACCACAACATTTGGGAGAGACAGGAGCTTCTGCCTGATAAGCCTGTCCATGGCCCTCCCAACTGCAGCGGTCAGCCATTCAGCATTCTTCTTGCGGACGTCGCCATCCTGGTCGCCACGGGCCCAGCAACAGGTCACAACCATCTCCTGTGGCTCCTTCGGCCTTGCGCGCGCCAAACCTTGGACAGTGGACAGAAGAAGGGAGTCGTCGTAAGGCAACAAATCAACGTAGACTGCGCCAAACTGCTGACTCATGTTCATGCCTTTCCACAGCCATTCCTTCAACTTGTCCATCAAGTCCACGCCAGAGATGTGCTGCTTGTGCATCTGAGCCTTGGACAGATTCTCTGCAGCAACAACTGTCTGGCCTTGCATGGGGAGGACATACTCACTGTTGGGCTTCATCTTGACGAGTGGCACGGCTCTTCTGTGCCACAACTGGCTGCTGCCAAACAAGCAAGCCAGCTCGCCGTCATCCTTCGTCTGATTGCTCATGCACATGATCATGGGGTGGACGGACGGCCGTGTGCGAGAGTTGATGCTTTCGTTCGAAAAGACGATCTGCCCGCGCCTTGTCTTGAGGTTGTACTCCTCCTTCCTCAGGATGTTCTCTACCTCGTCCTGCACCTGCACGGTCTCCTGCTCTTCATAGGTGTGGCCATGCCCTGCCACATTGGGGCTAATGATGATGGCCATGGTCCTCTGAGCGTTGTGGGCGCACGCGTCGGAAATCAACCGCGCAACTTCCTTCATCCCTCGAGACGCTGCAGAGCCAAGGGATGTCAAGTTCGCAATGTAGACAGTGAACAGTGAACAAGCAGGGATGATTTGCTTCTCTGCCCAAGTCGATGCGCAGCTGCTGACAAACGGCGCCACATTGTCACTTAGCCCCAAGCACCTGATAGGGAACTGGGCATCGGCTTGCTTCTCGACGATATCATCCGGTCTTGGTGCCTCAGGAACTCAACCTTGCCGACCTTCTGCATAGAAGTGAAGTCTGCCAGCGAAGTGCAATACTTGGTCCACAGAGAGACATCCTTGTCCAACTTTGCCTTGAACAGGCGCAAGGATGCCTGCCACACGAGCGTGGCAGAAAACAAGATAAAAACATGACACTGCGCAAGCAACTTGGCATGACACACAGCAATGAACGGCAGCAAGCAGTGAATGAGTGCAAGCAATTAGTAATGAACTAGCACATGCGGCTGCCTTCTCCTGCTCAAACTCGGCTGCTTCCTGCGCCGCTTCCAGCTCGATAGGCTCCTTTCCAGCAGGAGCATCCTTGCCCAAGTGCAGGTAAAGGAACCGGAAGTCCCCAAGCTTGAGGGTTGGGTTCATGGCTTTCACGCGGTCTGCCAACTCGCGCTCAAGGCTGCCCCGGAGAAACGTCCTCTCAAGCTGCTCAAACTCGTCGCCAGACATTTCCTTCTGCATTTCTGGCCTGAAGTGAACCCAAAGGCATGCCTGGTAGTAAGCGCTGACAGGGTCGCTGACACGGAACTTGTTCGCGTGGAACCTCAGGCTTCTTCTTCATGCGCAAGGCGTCCTTGAGGCTTTTCACAAACACATGGATAATGTGGAGCAGGAAGCACTCGTTCTTCTCCGCTGACGGCTTGAGGATTTCTTTCCACACCCCCGATGCCTCCGCCGGGGCGTCCGCGCCCAGAATGCCAGACTTGCCAAACAGCTTCATCGGGACGCCTGACTCCGCGTTCTTGTAGTTCTGCCAGTGGTACGCGAGCGTCTCGCGAAACTTGACCGTCTGCTGCGGCAACAGGCAGATGACCCGAGCCTCCAGCTCGGAGATGCATTGACTTTGCACACTTGTCAGGCTGTTGTACTCCTTGATCTTCCTAGGCAAGCCAGCAGCCACATCCTGGCCAGCCTTGGCCAAGCTGTCGGCCAAGACGTGATAGATCTGAATGGGGTCCGGCCTGTGGCTTTCGCTCACCTGAAACTTCGCTGACAAGCTTCAGTGTCGCTGGACCTCTTCGTTGGGCGCAGGGTTGTAGGTAAACTTGACAGTGAACAGCGAACGGAGGACAGGGAACACTGCCCGAAGCTCTTCGTTGCTCAAGTTCACCATGGCCAGAAGGATCATTTTGATGGCCAATGACCTTCCGAGCCCTACGCTGAAATTGACAGAGAAGTCGCCAATGGGGGTTCCCGGCGGAACCGAAAACAGAAGATCCAATGGGTTCTGGACACTGTTGAAGGTGTTCTCCAAAATGGAGAAGGCCGTCTCCAGGATATTGACCATGTTGGACCGCCCTTTCAAGGAGCAGCCATCCTCATGAGCGAGCTGCCAAATGAACAGCCATCCCTCACCGGCCTCCTGCTGCGGCCCCGGCGCCTCAGGGACGCACTGCGCCACTTGCGGGTGGACCCAGGCAGGCTCAACTGCTCGTGCCCTCTGGTACAGCTGCTCGAAGCAAACCTTCAAGTGGCGAGGTTCTGAGAACTTGCACCGGAGGTGGTCCACTATGTGAACGCAGTCAAAGGCCTCTGGGTCCGATGACCCGCTAAAGGTCGCCGAAATGCTCTGCTTCAACTTCAGCAAAGCTGCCTGGGACTGGCCGTCGCTTGCCCAATTGGTATGGGCCATGGTGTCCTTCACTTGAAGCTAAACGCGAGTCCTAGCACCGAACCAGAACTTGCTGAAGAGTGAATTGCAAATGTCAACAAACCATGGAACGACGGCGACCCGCAAGTGGCGAGGCAACCGCGGCATCTAGTTTTTCAACATGCTTCAAGCATCAAACTTAGGCATCTGCACGCCGCGCTGGCATGCGGTGAAACGTCGCCAGCAACTGCCATGAGGTGTCTGGCAAATGCTCATAATACATGTTGCGGGTCAGAGGCACTTCGCTTCGCTCAGGGGGCGCAGCGCCCAACCACTTGAGCGGAGGCGCGTCGTCTTCCGGCCTCGCTACGCGGCCCTCTTGCAGTTGTTCGATTAGGCCACGCAGCGCGGGGACAGCGCGAGTGAAGTCATGCGGCAGGGACTCCAGTGTGTCCGCCAACTTGGTGAGCTTCTTCAGTCGGTCTTGTTTGTCGGCGCCTTCTGCCAGAGTCTTGCAATCACAGGGGACAGGGGACAGTGCACAATCCTCTACCCTCTTGCGCGGCAAAGCCAGAACCGGCGGATGGAAGGAAGTGCCATGCATGCGCCCTTTGGTGAGAGCGTACACGTCATGATCATGGGCCTCCACTCCTTGCCGGTCTGGAGGCAGCTGTTGGGCTTCTTTGGGCGTCAGGTGGCAGCGACACTTGTACACAAAAGAATGGGCAGAAAGCTTCCCACCCCTGGAGACAAAGCAATTGCGCAAATGCACCTTGAGTTGGCCAAGCCAAGCATCGAAGTTCCGGATGTGCGCCACTTGCTCCACAAACAGCTCCTCCCCCTTGTTGGCAACAAAATCTGCTGTCTTCTCCTTCACGAGGGCGACCAGCTCTTCAGGCACCTCGAACCGACAAGGACGGAGAACTGTGGACAGGATGAGGGAGAAAAAATGGTCCACATCCTCATGAGTGTGTCCGACGGTCAAGAAGTTGAAGGTGCATGTCAAGAACTTTCCTTCAGACACCAAGTGCGCAAGAAATAAAGACACCACAGAATTTTTGTTTTGCGCAGTTGTATTGTCGGCCTGGATGACCAGGTGCTGAGGAAATGCCCGGCCCTTCTTCCCCGCAATGTCTGCCACACGGTCAAGACTGCGAGCAATCAGCTCGCAAAATGACGATGCCCCATGGTGCAGCGACTCGTCGCTGATGTAAACATTGGTGCACCACCCGTGACAGAGGACAGCGGACAGTATCACGCGTGGGCGCTTCTGATTCTCCAGTGAGTGGGGCTTTCGAGGGAACTTGTATTGCGGCCAGGCAGTCTTTACTTGGTCCATCGAGTCTATGATGATTGTCAACACGTTGAGACTGGCACGCGATGCCCAACGCAGACTCCAATAAATGAGCCGGTCATGATACTGCGCGCGAAGATGCTCACGCCAGTCCCTGGCAAGCGCCATCTTCTCAGCTGCCCTGCCCTTCTTTCCCTGAAGCTTTTCACGAAGGCTATGGCAGGTGTTGCACTCCTTGTGCTGGGATGTTTTCCGAAACCGGAGCACGTGCGACCACTTCTCCCACCACACGCGCCAAAAAGTTGACCATGATGGAGCCTTGAACTGCGAGCCAGCCAAACTCTCCGCGGCCTCGCACCATGCCTGGAATTGCCAAAACAAAGACATTGGCTTGCCCGGCGGCAAGTGGCGAATGGGGACAGCGGACAGGTCAACAGTGGACAGCGCCATAATGTTCTGCGCTATGGCTGCCTCCGGCGTCCATGAGAAAATTTCCGCAACATTCGACACTTGGTACATGTACGACTGCGGCTCTCCCTCTGCCTGTTCACCATTGTCTGCGGCAATTTGCAAGTCGACATCACGCGCCTGGAAGGTTTCTGGCAGATCTTCAGCGCTTTGATGATAGAGCTCCAGGAAAAACATGTCAACCAAGTTCCTTTGCATTGCAGGGCGTGTCGCAAGTGTCTCGCAATGGCTCAGCTTGCGCCGCATGTCCACTACCCCTTGCAGCTTCTTCGCCATGGCTTTGTTGCCAACACCCAGCAACGCGCAAAGACCCGGAAGGCAGACTTGCTGCCCAGCAAAGAACCACGATGTGCGATGAGCCAGCCGCTCTGCATCCGGCGCGTCCAAACCCTCATCAGCACTACACTCCCACTGAGCATTGAGGAAGTGGTGCTGGGACTCTTCTGAAATGGAATGCCACAGCTGGCAAATCTCAATGACCTGGCTTCTTTGAAACACGCTAAAGCAATTGTTCTTGCAACTGCAAGGTTGTAGCATCACCCTTGCAATTCGATCTGGGTCTAAGGCCTTCCTCCTATACTCGGTCATTGGCAAGTCATCGGAGCTTTTGACAAGCGAAAGGGTGGGCATATCCAGGCAAACGTGGTGACGGACGGTTTTGCCAGCTTTGACTGCAGCAGGCGCCCCGGAAGATGCCGAAACATCAGGCTTCTTCCAACTTCGCTCAGAGGATGACGGAAAGGCGTTGCCTTCTTCTGGGCACTTCTTCCACTGTGGCCCGCTCGCAGCCTTGGCCTTCTTGGGAAAGGGCTGCCCAGATTCTTCAACATCATCCCTGAGCTGACCTACCGGCGGCTGCTTCCAGTGAACTGATGTAGTTGGCCCCACTGCTGGCCGTTTCCAACTTGAGCTCTGCGGGCCTGTGGGGCCACTTCGGGTTGATGTCTCAGGCCAGTGGCGAACTTCAACGCCATCATTTACAGGAGGCTTCTTCCACGACATGTTCTATCTATTTGAGCCGATACTCCTTATGGAACACCGCTGTTAGCCGCCGGCCGGGAAATGACAAAGTCATTAAACATGACCAGTGTCATTATTTTGGCTGGCTCCTGTCGGGGCCCCAGCCGCCGGGCAGCAAATGACAAAGTCATTAGCGGCCCCGCGAATGACACAACTATCAAATTTCCCTGGATTCTGGGGGTCAGAGGCCGGCCTGGCAAAGCCTCACATGTAGTTCCCCGGCTGGCTGCTCCCCCCCCCCTAGGCGCCGGCCGCATGAGGGTTTGTAATGCGGCGCCGTCCGGGCGGAGCCTCGCATCTAGTTCCCCGACTGGCTCCACATTACGAATCCCCATGTGGCTGGCTCCTAGGGGGGGGGTAGCGGCCGGCCAGACAACTACATGTGAGGCTCTGCCCGGCTGGCTTCTAACAAGGGTTGTGGCCAAATTTGCAGCGGCGCCCAAACGCAAATGACAAACTGGCTGGCTGTTGGTCGGCCCCGGCTGGCTTGCAATCAGTCGCTCGTGTCTGAAATGCTCAGTCTCACCAAGCAACAAGGCACCAACGCCAGCCTGAGGTGTTGGATTGGAGGAGCTGGCAGCAGCTCTCGCCACCTGTGCCAGAAAGACCAAAGTTTGTTTTGCACAATAAGTCAACATTGCCCTGCCCCTCCTCGAAATCTTTTCACAAACCACAATGAGCAAGTTGGGACATGGACGCCCAACCTCGAATAACATCCCGTGCTGCTCGGACCAAAACATGACAACAAGGGGGCGCCTGTGGGTTGCAGTGTGGCTGGTCGAGCGCAAAAGGCACCTAAGCAAACGAGGCAAACTGTGGCTGCAACTTGTTTAAAAAATGTGTAATGTCAGGACTGAAGTCTCGCCGGTGTAAGCCCTGAACCGCAGCGGCGCCGCGTGGCCAGCCTTCACGGCACGTCGCGCCGTGGACCGTGCTTGCACGCCTCCAACACGTTCACAATCAGAAAGCAAACCAAATCAAACTAATCAATCAAACAGGTTAGCGTGACCGAGGCCTCGGCGTCGGTCTTGCCCGACATGCTCGTCCACGCCTGCCAGGAGAAGTGCAAAACAATAACAACCAATTGAAACTGACAACCAACGGAACTACCTTTCAACTTGCCGCGGGCTGAACAAGTTTGCTGCATGTAACGCGCTGAGCTTGCCATGTGCGAAGCACGACCTGACCCAAATTCGGCAGAAGCAGCGCTTTTGGCTCCGACCAAGCACAGAGTACGGAAGTCCGGCGCGAATGGCAGCCCTGCAGCCACTGTGGACAGTGAACAGTGAACAGCGCACGTTAAGTGAAATGCATGGTGTGTGCTATGGGTCACTGTCACTGCCACAGTGATGCCGGCTGCCCTACCACTCACATGGGCTTTGCATTCTGTTGTCCAGTTGCGCCCTGTTTGGCACAGCCAGAAAATCGCAAAAAAAAGCGCCCTGGCGATTCCACATCATTCAAAGTTCTCAGCACCACTGGTGCTGCTTGCGGGGGATAAGCTGGAAGATCCCTTTCTTCTCGGTCCAGTACCACCTTAGATGGCCCAATAAACGCGCATACGTTTTAGCCCTAAGACCCTGTCATGCAACTGCGCCGCCCGTTTCCGTAGCTCCAGATCCAGCCCTCCCAGCTGTTCTCGGAGCCCATCCTGGTCCAGTGCGGCTCCGTACGGTTGACAGTCGCGTTGAAGGCCTGCAATAGATGTCTAACAACATCATCATGCGACAAATCACAAATCACATCCGTCCTGGCGATTCAGCATGTCGGCCAGGGAGTCCGGGTATGTCAAGCAGCGCCACATGTGGAGCTTCGGCGGCTGGGACATGGCGGTCAAGGGCGGGCGCTGCAAGAAAATGAAGTGGGCGTAGTACTGGTCCGCCTCCTACGCGTCATCAACACGGAAAACAGCAGTTCAGAGCAAATGTGGATGAGAGCAGAACAAACGCGCTCCAACATCACACAGTAGCCGCATCAATCAAAGACAACGCAGTCGCCCCAACAGAAACAGCTGTCCTTGGAGAACAGTCCGCTTCGGATGCTCCATGTGCTGATCATGTTCATCTGCATGGGGACGGGCTTGACGTCGTAGACGCAGAAGGAGCCCTGGCATTCGGATAGCTTCGGTAGGCGACGCGCAAACACAGGGCAGCGACGCTTCAGTGTGTGGGAGCAACAACCGCAAGGCGCCTGCCTCCACCGTTTCGCCCATCACTTTGTAGCATTCCATGCTGTTGGCTTCGTTGATGACGAACACCCAGAAGAACTGCCCCAGGCTCTGCAGCCAAACGGACATGCGTTGCTCCTGAGCCAGCAGAAACACCGATCTGCCCCACCAGCGGAGCTGCTGGCCAATATCAATCAGCTTTGAACAAAAGTAGATGGTGGACAGTGGACAGCGGACAGCGGACACTGACCAATATCAAACGGCAGATGCAACATGTAAGGCAATCTGGGCACAAACCTGCCGAGCCTGGAGGCTGAAAAACATGGGAACCCCCAATGGGAGGTTGGGTTCCACCAGGAACTCGTACGTGTTGCGCCTCATCTCGCCTGCCAAAGAGATCAGACTGAAAACGCGCCTTGCGCCAAAAAAACACAATGGAAGGCCTTCGTCCAGGATGTGCAGCACAGTCTGCGCCGGGAGCTGGTGGGGCTGGTTGACTCCAGCCAAGGCCCGCTGCCTCATAGTCTGGTTAATCTGCAGCTGCGTGGTGGCCAAATTGGTCAAGTCGGCCTGGTTTAGAGAATATGTGAGCCCTGCCTCGCGCACGTCCTGCACCGCGTGGTGCCACTCGCCAAGCGCAGTCAACATACCCTTGGTGCCCTTGACCGCGTCTTTCAGGTGCGCGTGCCAAGGGTACAGACCAAACTCAAGGCCATGGCGTCGGGGCATCAGGTAGGAGATCGTCTCCTGCCTGTTCGGCACGGTCTGCTCGTAGCAGAAGATGCTGTCCCCCACCACTTTGGCCCAGCCAAGCAACGGGCCGTGGATGAGGATCCCCTTGCAAATGGTTGCTTGCGAGATCGGCGCGAGGCAAGGCAACCCGAACCTGCCTTGGCTGCCAGCTGGAAGAACCGCAGCAGCCCGATGAGCAACAGGCGGCGGTCCTGCCCAGGCTGCTCAACAAATGGACCAGGTAAACATGGGAACGAGTAAGTGCAACCATGGACCACGGGCAGTGGCAAATCGGTAGACAGGGGACAATGCACAACGCACAAAGTACAAAGGACAGTGGACTGCAGTGACAGTGGACAGTGAGTGTGGAAGGCTCCAAGCCGAGCCTCGTCCATCTCCAAACAAGCAGCACACTGCAACAGGCAAGGCGCAAACAAAAGACACGCCACAGCTTGCCGGCAAGGAGCGCCCTTGATGACCAGCCTCGCCATGGACTTGGGCGCAAGGCCTGCCGTCCGGGCCCTCTTCATCTCCTTGAGGGCTTGCCTGGCCTTCTTGACGAGCGTCTCCTGTTGGGCGAGGCCATGCCAGGGACATCGCCGCAGCTACTGTAGCTGTACAGCGCAAGTGCAAGGCAGCTGTGCCAAATTCGAAACCATGTACCAGTCACATGTTCAAAGTGTCCTCCTTCCAAGCCTCAAACAAGGGCTTGACCTCATGCTGGCATGTAGCAGCAGCATTTCCAAGCACAAGCGTAAGCACAAGCCAACATGACGAACGAAACGCTAAATGCCGCCGTGGCTCCTCGTAAGACGGGCCATCAGAGACAGAGGACAGCGAACTGGCAACAGTGACAGGCGGCGGCGCTGCCTCCTCCTCAGCAGGATCGGCTGGGGACGTGGGCGCCGCCCAGTCCGGCGCCTCAGGCTCCTCCTCCGTCTTCGGCACCTCGCGCATGCCCTCCACGCCCTCCTCCACAGGGACCTCCTCGAACTCCTCGCCGTCCTCCGGCTTCGCTTCCGGCTCCGAGGCCGCAGCCTGGACCTCCCCAAGCTTCTCCTCAATCTCGATCACCTGCAGGGAATCGCGCGAAAGGACATGCGCAATCGATGGATCGAGGGGCTGGCTGGCCACTATCTGATATTAGGGTCATTGGCGCAGGGCGCGCGCAAGCAAACCGCACAAACTTTGTTCAAACCAGCAACGCCGCCAACACCCTCGGACGCACTTAGGCGTATAAAAAAGAGGCCCGCCTGCTTGCCAACTGGCCCTCAACACACGCGTGCGTGCATGCAAGGCGGAGCGTGAACAAAGCGTGCGTGTGCCCGAGTGCAGGGCGCTACGCAAAGGCGTCGCGCAAGCGGAAGTTCAACCATAATGTTTACGGGCCTCCGTTTTATATTGGCAGATCACGCAAGTGTTGCAACAAACGCCTTGGAAGGTAATAGAGCCTTCATTCTTGCAGATGCATTGCCCATGCTGACGGTCCATTCCAGGAACCTGATGGAACTCATCGTTCACAGGTTACATGTAATGACATCATGAAAGGCGGTGAGAAACAGCTCACGCTTTGTCGCGGCGGCTGGCGCCACTACGCAGCATGGCTCATACTGGACAGTGAGCAGTGAACAGTGGACGGCAGCGCAACGCGAACGGGGGGTCAGTGTGGCAGGCGCTACCATCAACAGAGTCACACACTAAACATGTTGGAACGCACGAGAGGGCGGACGAAGTGTCAAAGGGCGACGCCTACGTTCCAAGCTTCTTGCAAAAGCGACGCAACGATCTACTGCCAAGTGGGAGGCCAGACCCTCGGTCAAGTTGCAAATTGACTGCTCCCAGGCAAGTTGGCAAGACCCTTGTGTTTTGCAACCTTTGGGAAGCGTTGGAACAGGGCCGTGTAATAGCCCCGCAGCGGCGCATAATTGCTTAAAATCAGTTTTAAGCAAGGTGATCCGAAGCAACGTTGCGAAGACCTGTTGCTCACATGCCCATTAAACCGACATTAACAAGTTCCCCCCCACCCTTCAAATAACACCAGCAAGGCTTTGAAATGCTTGGCTGGGAAAGGGTGATATCATCCAGGATTTGAAGAAGCAGGACCCGCGCCTCGAAGCCAGTGGCTGCGGCGCTGCTCTCGATGCTCCGAGTGTCACCCATGGTAGCTGCTTGTGCGATTGCGCGTAAAAAGGGGACAGTGCACTTGAACAGAGAAACTCTGCGGGGCAAGCTCAACTCCAAGTGCACACTCTGGTCAACCAAGGCACTTGATGGAAATGCCCGCGCAACTAAAGAATGCGTGGGGCAAGATCCCGGCCAAGCCTTGTGAGTGCCCTTCAGCTCGATTTGCTGCGGCCGCAGCTGCAGCTTCTGCTTGCTGCGTGCCCTGTACTGTCCACTGTTAACAGTTCGCTGTCAACTTACACGGCGCGCTGTCCAGCGTTTAGCAGCAACAGCAGCGGCGGCAGCAGCTGCAACAGCGCCAGCAGCTGCCCGAAGTTGCTTGCTTTTGACATCATGTGTGTTAGCACTGTGTCGGCCGTGGGCCAAACGCAGGGAACAGTGGACAGCTGACAGCGGACAGTGAACGCTGCACAGTGGACAGTGAACGCTGCACAGTGGGCAGTGAAACCTGCACAGTGGACAGTGAACGCTGCACAGTGGAAAGCAACACCCAGGAGCCAAGGTAGCTCAAGTGGCCCAGGCCACATGCGATTGCTCGCGGCTTCTTCGAGCTCAGCAGCCAGCCAGGCCCAGCCTTCACACACATTGAACGGAGGGCTTGGCTTTGACTGGACGAAGGGTAGTGTGGCAACCTGCAAGCCCCAAACACCATTGCCAACATTCTGGGTGAACACTTTGTCACAACGATTTATGTTTGGGCCTGCTTCGTGCTTACATGCTGTTTGCCGTGCGACGCCCTGCCTGCCCAACGCCTGTCAAGTCCTGCCAGGTTGGAGTTGAGCTCCGCGCTGGCACCTGGCAATTGCAAGGCCGGGCAACACGAGCTGCCTGCAGTCGGCGCAAATGTTGGCATTGCTTTGAACAGTGGACAGCGCTCATGTGATTGAACAGCGGGCATGGAACTTGTCATGTCATCAGCTGTTTGGATCAAGTAAACAAGGATTAAGCTATCCGATCGGCCTGCCTGCTGTCCACAGGCATCCATGGGACCGAAAACGCCAAAGAAAAAAGCCAGAGGCAGTTCACTGTCCGCTGTCCAACTGTCCCCTGTCAAGAGCAAAAAGCCGGCTGTCAAAGGCGAAAAGCCGGCTGTCAAGGCAGGCAAGATGCCCACCGCCCAGGGCCACAACAAGAAGCCTTGGAACAAGGGCAAGAAGATGTCAAAAACCGATCTTCAGCATTTGTTCGTCCCTCGGGAGGAGCTGACCCTTTTCCTGGCTGTTGCCCTGTTTTTTGCGGGCCCCAAGTACGTCATGGTGCTTTGGGTTACAATGGTTACCTCCCGTCGAATCTCAGAGGCGTTGCAGCTTCAGGGCTGCGATGTGTTCCTGGACGGTGGCTTCACGCATGATGCTCCTCACATCCTGTTCCAAAAACGCGAGGAGAACAAGGACTACAAAGGATTGGGGAAACTTGGCGCTGACAAGGTTGTTGCCCGCCTTGCCCCTGATGTTTTATCAACGCTACGGGATGTTATTGCCAAAGGCGTAGAAAGGTGCGTGCTACCCCCTTTGGAGCCCTTCCAACAGTCTCACCCAAACATCTTTGAAGACGTCCAGCCACTCACAACGAAGCCATTTCACTGGCCTGCCAACGGCAGCTACCTGTTCCCGGCTGAAACCAAGAAGGCCCAGCAACCCTGGATGGCAAGGCAATCCGTGTCCCTAGCAGTGAGCCGCATTCGGAAAGTGATGTTTGCGCTGACCGGCCGCAGACGCTGGAACCAAGAGTTTATAGGCTCTCACGTCACGGTGCACGGGGCTACGAGGCATACGTCCTCCGCACTTTTGCTTTCAAACCCAAAAGGAACGAAACGACCTTCAGAACATGTGATCATGGAGATTCAGCAACGGCATGATGTGGGAACTTTCAGGCGCCACTACTGCCATGCGCATGAAGAGGACGTGGTGGAAGCTTTGCAATTCGCAGCGGTTCCTGTCAGTTTCTCCTTGCCGGCGGCACCGCCCGCGCCTGAGAACAAAGGGGAAAAGGAAGAGGCCCTGTCCGCTGTCCCCTGTTCACGGTCTATCGCAGCATCGCCAGCACCAATGGCGACAGTTCCGGGCATGCTTTCAGCCCAGAGCAGCTCCTCATCCCCAAGCGCACCGCCAGCCCCAGGCAACGCCGAGGAGTCGAGCCAGGAACGCAGGCATTCCAGCAGAAACGCGTGGAGGAAGAGTAAGCGCCGTGCAGGGCAAAAAGCTTGGAAGGCGACTTACGCAGTCTCACCTCATGCAGAGAATCCAGGCAGCAATCCGACGAAGTGACGCCTTAAGTTTTACACCCCTATTGCTCTCGCAATCGAAGTCTGTAGCAAGCAATGGCAACAAACCCTTGGGCTTGTGTTTTTGAAATGTTGGATTGCCCCTGCATTTGGTTGGCCCAACCTGCCCCTTGCAGTTGGCTGGTCCGTGAGGGCCCCTGCAAGTTTGTGGCGGGTTGGGCCCATGCAGATTGCTGGCGATTCGAAAGAAAAAGGCGCCCGTGCAAGCAAATGGATGGTTGGCCGGCGCCAAGCCTCTCATGTCAGCGCAAGCACGATGAAACCCTCCGACCCAGGGCTGCAAACATGGCGGGCCGGCGTCGCCAGCAGGTTCGGCTTGCCCAAGAACCACCCTTAACGGCCTGGCCTTTCGCACACCCTTGCCAAACAATGGGCTATTTTCACAGTGGACAATCGACAGTGGACAGCGCGCAGCAGAGGGTTGTGTGAAACACACGCAAGTGCAAATGTTGGAGTCCTCATCTCCCGGCACTAGTGGCCGAATGTAAATGAACACTTGCTAGCAGTAGGCAAGCTGGGGCCGGCATAAAAACAATCTGGGACAACACAAAAGGCCATCACCTAGTTGATTTGCAAGTGTGCGCGCGTGTGTGTGTGTGTGTGTGTGCGTGTGTGTCTGTGCGTGTCGCAAAAACCAGCGGCTGCAGCTAACGCGCCTTTCGAGCACCAAGGACACCAACTGATTTGAAAACATGCATTCAAGACCTGGAAAGGCGCTCAAGAAATCCGCAATTTTGGCGTTCGCGCTTGCGCTTCAGAAAGGTTAAGCCCAGGAGCAGGGCCTTTTGAACGGCGCTCTTGACCCCACGTTGCTTGAGCAGGGAAACAGGAGTTGACCGATTCACTGAAGGTGGCGTCGGTCAATTCTCACCATTTTTGGTCTACGGGGGCCTGTTTTCATTTTGTGTCACGCGTGGCTGTTCCTTGTGTCTTATGGATTCCGGCATTTGTCGGCTCCGCTGGGCAAATCCTGCAAGCCATGACGTCTTGACGTCTTGCCCAGCTTTTCGACGCTTGCAGGCTGTCATTTCTCCTATAGCAGGGCCCGTGCGCCCAATGTTTTGCAGGGCCAATGGGCATTTTCAAGTTTCCGTGGGCACTCCCTTGCTGATCAGCGCTCAGTCATGAACCTTGCGCACGCGCTGTCCGCTGTGTAATGTCCAGTTTCTGGCATTATGTGAGCGCACCGCTTGTAGCATTTTGGCTCCGGCCCTGTGCACTGGACCCTGTCCTCTGTTCTTTGACTGTCATGGCCGGGTTGGTGGTGCCTTTGATGAGGAACATTTGGTTTTCGGAAATCCTTGGCGAGGGTGACCTGGGCCAGATCGACACCATCGTTGACACGCAAGACATTCAGCCGCGGCCGCGTCTTGTCAGAACATGAACCATGCTTGAACATGCTGATTACGTAAGTGTCCCTCAGCTGAGCTTACGCTTTGAGCGCAAGGTACGAGCCCTTTACCATGCACGCTGCCTTGGCGGAGTGGATGCGCTGTAGCTTGTGCACCCTGGACCCTGTCTTCACCTTCCACGGGAAGATGACGTACGTCATGCGTGATGCTGTGCGCAAGATTGAGGGCAACCGGGTGACGGCAATCTATGTAATCTTGTGGGACTGCGAAGCAGAAGGAACCCGCATGGCAGTTCTTACTCCAGAGAACGCCCCAGAATCTGCGTAGGTGAGCACAGTCAGTCAAAGTTTTGAGGGCTGTGAGCGGGAAACTCGTGTTCCTGGTAGCAGTCCACTGTGCTCTGTGCGCTGTGTGTGGATGGCTGGGGCTTTTTAAACAGTCGACGGAGCAACGCCCTGGATTAGAATGCCAC